CGAATGGGATACAACCCCTTATCCTCCCAAGTTTGAGGTCCCGACGTTACAAACTTTTGATGGCACGGGTTCACCGAACCAACATATCTATCATTTCAAGTCACAGACTGGGAATATGATATCAAACGATGCCATACTAGCTCGATTATTCATTGGCACCCTCAAGGGAGTTGCCTTTGAATGGTTCAGGAAACTACCTGTGGGATGTATCCAAAAATGGGCAGATCTAGAGAGACTATTCCTGTCAAGATTCTTTGAAGAGGATACAGAAGTCTCCATCCATACTCTTCTCGCCACTAAGCAGAAGAAGAGGGAATCCGTCAAAGCCTTCGTCAAAAGGTTCCGAACCATGGCTCTCCGGTGTTCGTCAGGTATGACACAGTCTACCCTAGTGGAGACCTGTCGGCACAATTTGCAAACCGACCTCCTAGCCCGAATCGGAGTTGCAGAATGTCGTTCTTGGAGACAACTAATCTCTCAAGGCGAACAGGCTCAAAAGATTATTGCCAGGATCAAAGCTGAAGAACAAAGTAGGCAGGATCCACCTGAGCAATCGGACGAAGCCCAATCTTCTCCTGAGCAATCGGACCAAGCGTCCACAAAACTATCACGTTAATATTTACCTCTGATAGTCCATCAACTTGTCAATCCGCTTCAATAGGATGACAGGTCCACTAAAACTATCACGTTAATGATCACCTCTGATAGTCTACTTTCTCCAAATTTCCCCACCAATTCTCTTCCATAGGATGGCGGGTCCATCAAAACTATCACGTTAACAATTACCTCTGATAGTCAAACACATCAGATAATGGCCTACCAGGTGATGTGCCTCTATTTCGACTTCATGGATAGTGCCTCACTAGGCGATGTGCCTTGTCTACCTCTTTTTCTTCCCCTGCTAAGTCTTAATCAAGACTGGGGGTTGGTTACTTGGAATCCATTGGATTAAAAGTAATAAATCTTTCACATCGTCGAGTTAACATTACACTTCTGACGATCATCATCCCCACAGAGTATGCATTCAACTCGCATTACTCCCAATTTGTCACGTTAACAACATACACCTCTGACAATCAACTTATCAATCCTCTTATCACGTTAATATTTACCTCTGATAGTCCATCAACTTGTCAATCCGCTTCAATAGGATGACAGGTCCACTAAAACTATCACGTTAATGATCACCTCTGATAGTCTGCTTTCTCCAAATTCTCTTGCCAATCCTTTCAAGTAGGATGGCGGGTCCACAAAAACTATCACAATCAATCCTCTTCAATAGGATGATAAGTCCACAAAGTTGCTCCAATCGCAACACAAATCTTGTCACGTTAATATCACACCTCTGACAACCAATCCACTTATCGACTCTCTCCAATAGAGCGATAGGTTCTCAAAGTTGCCCCAATCGCAACACATTCTGTCACGTTAACACTAAACCTCTGACAAAATCCACTTATCAATCCTCTTCAATAGGATGATAAGTCCACAAAGTTGCTCCAATCGCAACACATTCTTGTCATGTTAACATCATACCTCTGACAATCCACTTATCAATCCTCGTCAATAGGATGATAAGTCCTCAAAGTTGCTCCAATCGCAACATTCTCCTGTCATGTTAATATCACACCTCTGACAAAACCCACTTATCAATCCTCGTCAATAGGATGATAAGTCCTCAAAGTTGCTCCAATCGCAACACAAACTCTCGTCACGTTAACACTAAACCT